GGCTGGCGCCTTAGCCAGTTGAGCTATAGGCGCCGAGCCAAGGCCAGAGATTCTGACAGGCCTCTGCTCAGGCTGCCGGAGACAGAGAGGTGGAGGCTCTTCCTTGCCCAAGGCCTGGGGAGGACCAGTGGGGCAGAAGAGCAGGTCTCCCTCCCACCAGCGACTAGGGCTCTTCTGGGGGCCAGCTGTCCACCAGAGTGGGGTGTGGAGTGGGTAGGGCAGCATCTCTCTGTGCTCTGCCCAGGTGAGGGGTGGATGGGCCCAGCCTTGGGAAGCCAGAGATACTGAGGTTCCCCAGACACACCTTCTGCTTCCAAAGGCAGAGGCCCCATCTTCTGAAACACTTTCTCACCAGATAGAAAGTGCCTCCTTTGGCCTTCCAGGGACTCAGGCATATTGCTGTGACAACCTGTTCTCTCCAGGGCAGTCTAAAAGGAGCCCCACAGCGCCAGGACCAGAGTGCCCAGGTGGGGTGGGCCCCAAGATGGGGGCTGGGACAAAAGCCAGGGACCTGAGCTTAAGATCCCCCAAAAGGAGGAGCAAGGCAGGTAGGTAGTGGGTGGGATGGGGCTTGCAGGGGGCTGCAGGTGGCCACCCTGCTTCTGGGGCTGACAAGGAGCAGGTGCTGCTCTCCAGTTGTCCCGAGAGCACAGAAGCCCCCAGCTCCCTGGGGAAAGCACGTGTTAGTATGAGCCTTGTGGTCTGTCAGAGGGAGGAGGAATGGGTGTTCACAGAAGACGCAAAGAACGTCTGCAATTCTTAAATAGATTTATGGAAATGGTTTCGAATTACAGCATTTAGAAAATAAATATAATCTCAGTACATAATGTTCTCTCCACTATATACTCTTCCCCCCACAGAAGCCTTTTTGCACACGTGTATTCCACTGTTAAACGGAAATCGCATTTTACCCTATAAAAGAAGCGGTAGGTGTGTCATCTCTAAAAATAAAACCGCAATCATCATTGCAATGTGAAGCCTGAGATTTAAGCCTGAGGCAGAGTCCGCGAAGGGGTCACTCTGATGTGTCAGCCTGGTCTGGGAAAGTGGGCCAGGGCCCCAGGGGTGCGGGGGCTGGGTCGTGGTGGCCAAGTTCGCAGACTCCGCGGTGCTGGGGTGAGCCTGGGCCCAAGAACCTGACCCCCAGCAGCCGGATAACGGAGGGCGGAGACCAGGGCCTCCCTGCTCGCCCAGCCGACGCTGAGTCCACTTCCCGCAGTTCCCCGCCAAGAAGAAATGAGATGCGTGGGGCGGCAAGGGTGGGCGCCAGGGAACGTGGGCTGGGCAACGGCGGGGCAGGGAAGGGACAGCCTGCGATTTCTGGTTTGATGACCGCCTGGGGAAGCCCTGCCCAGCCAGGAGCCTACCCTGTGGCTTCCAGCTTGGGACAGAAAAGTCCGGTCATCCGCTGAGTCGCGCAGCTAGAGCAGAGCTCCACAGACTGGCAGGAAAAGCCAGCCCACCCTCCAGGCCCCCTGCCCCTGGGCTCCCCCCACCCCCACCACCAGCCGGAGGCCCCCGCGGGCGGGCGGGCGGGTCAGGATGGGTGGGACGGAGGCTCCCAAAGATCTGGAAGTCTCGGTGGCCCTGCATCCCCGCAGCTGGACGAGACGCAGGGAGACTCTCCCGTCTTTCCTGGGGGTCCTGCCAGGGGCCGCCTCACAGGCCAGCCTTGTCGCTGTAGAAGGGCGTGACGTGGAACATGTAGCAGTGCGTGCACACACGGACTGGCTTCACCTGCCCATAGCGGGGCAGCGGTGCGGAGTGCGAGGAGCAGCGCGAGCAGAAGATCTGCAAGGCCGCGGACCGGGTGGGGTGAGGGCGGGGCCTCGCCCGGCGACTCAGCCCCCCCATGCAGGGCCCGGGAAAGGTGCGTGGGTCGGGGAACTGGTACCTTCAGGGAGCCCTGGCGAAGCCTTGGCCCAGGAGGTTGGGCTCTCGGAGGGGGGCCTGCACCAAGGCTGGACATAAGCAAAGTGCATATGGGAGGGCCCAGGCTGGAATCCAAATACGGACCCCATGAACCCAGAGGCTTGGCCACCCTCCAGGGCAGAGGTCCTGGTCCTGAGCCTCAGGCTGTGCCTGTGCATGGGTCCCCTGATGCTGGGGGTGTGGTCCCACCTACCTTCCCACAACTACGGCAGTGGTGCTTTCGTCGGATGACGGTAAATGGTGCTTTGCAGGCGGTGCAGAAGCCGCAGGCCTCGTCTGGCACCCACTCAGGTGGGTCTGTCACGAGAGCCGAGGACACATCAGCAATGGCAGGGCCTGGTGGGCTGGGGGCAGGGTCAGAGGCCTGGCAGGTGCAGGCACCACTGACCTCTCTCCTCCCTTAGACTCCAGGCACTGGTTATGATTTAAGGAAACTGATGGTGTTGCATGCACCGGGCACCCTTCCTAGCCATGGCAGTGCTGGCCATCAGACCCTAGGTTGTGCATGGTATGCAGGAAGTGCCTCAGGGAGCATCCAGCTGGGTGAGCACACTCTAGCCCTGACTCTCCCAAGCTCTCCCCGGTAAGGCCTATCTCCTGGCATCCTCCTTGGCATCTCACCCAGACCTCCAGGAACTCAGGGGCCCATTTTCACAGTCTGCCACCAGCCCCTTCTGAAGGCACAAATGTGGTTCAGTGCCCCCACCTGTCAAGCCACCTGGCCCCCAGCTGCCCTGTGGGCACACAGGGGAGCTATCTTCTGGCTGCACCTGCCCAGATGTGGCTGTCTGAGGGCTCCCCTTATGAAAAAGGCCCTGTGACCCCCCCAGTCCCCCACAAGAAGGCCCCCTGCTCCCCCATTTCCCATGAGGCTGTCCCCCCCACACCGTCACCCCCCCCCCGTGTCTTGGGTAGTATCTAGGGCTGTGTGCCCACTCAGGAGGGGAGGAGGGTCTGGGGTGGGAAGGGGCTGAGCTGGAGCAAAGAGGTAGAAACATCCAGACCACACTCTGGGTGCTCTGGTCAACATGCAGCATGCCAGCCCCTGGCCCAGAGCTTCGCACACACCTTCAAAGTCCCCATCACGGGTCTTGGCTGCGAGTTCGGAGGATGACAGGGTCTCCTGACATAATGCACAGTCCTCCAAGGTTGCACCTCGCAGAGTCTGGGTGACTGGCAGAGAAAGGGAGGCCATTGAGTGGTAGCAAGGCGGTGGATGCATGGTCACCTGTCCCTGATGGGTACCTGGGTGTCTCCCCTAGACCCACCGACAGTCTCTCAGTACACAGAGGGAGGGCCCACAGCAGGTTAGGTGCTGATCCTGGACCCCAGACTGCCAGTGTCTGAGTGCCCAGTCCAGGGCATGGCCCACAGGGCTCACAATTCCCATGTGCACAGCCAGTCCATGACACCACCTTTTCTGCAGTGTTGTTTCCAGAAGGCAGCCCTGCTAGGAATCCCCAGGCAGAATGGTGTGGTGTGGACTCTGGCGTGAGCTGAGTGGACACAAGGTTCTTCCCGCCAGCAAGGACATGCCTTGCTGGGCCAGGGCTCCAGGGCCAGGAGGGTTGCCCCATGTGCCCAGAGCCCTGTGCTGAGGGGTAGGTCCCCAGAACAGGCACTGAGGGCCAAACACTCTGTGCCTAATCTGTCCTTGCCCTGACATCTTCTCCCTCCCCAAATAACTGCTGTGTGCATGTGTGTGAGCGTGCACACACGTGTACGTGTCACATGCATGTGTGGCACACTTATATGGATGTGAATGTGTACTTGTATGCACGTGCATATCATGTGTGCACGTGTGTGCACATGCCTGTGTGTTGTGTGACTGTTGTTGTGACAGTGGACTCTTCTATCCCATAGAGCAGTGTTGCCCACGTCCCCTGTGACTCCCAGTTAGCTTCTGCTGTGATAGACGGAATTCAGTGGCGTGGTGCTGTCTGGCCTCTGTCAGTAGTGAGAGCCAGACTGCCTTGCTGCAGTGTATAGGGGTCAGAGCTACCTGCCACTTGCCTGAGAACGGAGGGCTTGGACCATCTGCATATTCAGGGGGTGGGGCCACTTCTCTAGGCAGGGGTCTCTCTGGGGCTTTCCTAGGCCCCACTGTTATGCATCCCCTGGTTGCACACGTGGATTGGCAGCTCAGCCGATCCTGGGTACACACCTGCCTCTTAGTGGTCGCATTTGCCCAGGGTTGGAGTTGTGGTTTTCTCAGCACCCACTTCCCTGGGGCAGTGGACATAGGCCCCTGGCACAGGCTCCGGACCCATCCTGAGTGGGCATTCAACTCACCCTTCCTTAACTTTTCCTTGTCATCCGTTTCTGGCTTGGTGGCCATGACCTCAAACAGCGTCTTAAGAATACTTCTCAGGTCACTAGCATAGTTGGTCTGCAGCTGGTCAGCCACACCTGAGGGAGGAGGGCCATGGTAAGAGGGACAGAGGGCAGACGGCAGGAACTTCAAAGGCTGGGAATCAGGGAAAGAGGAGGTGGGCTGTGGAGACACTCTTATCCAAGAAAGAGGAGTTCTTGGATAGGAGTGCAAACCCGGGGGCAAGAGGTCTATTTACATTCGTGCATTTTAGCCACAGGTCACAGCTGTCACCACAAGGTGGCTCTGGACACTCACTGAGGGCACTTCCCACCCTCTTCACCTGGGAGGTCCCCACCTCTGCCTTTCTGTCTAAGGTAGATCTAGCTCTTTTCTGGGAAACAAAAAGGAGGTGCCATTTACAGCAACACCAGGGGAAGGCTGTGCAGCTCTATGCTGCTTCCCACTTGAGTCCTCAGCACCCCAGGCCTGGACCTCACACCTGAAATGCACACAAACAGGCGGTGGATCAGGTCGTGGCTGCCGTGGAACCTGGACCGAATCTTCTCTCTCGTGGCCACTGGGGTGACAGGTGTTGCTGCTGGGGCCGCTGCCGGCCCAGTCTTGTCTGAGGAACAGGAGCCAGCCGTAGAGCTGCTGCACAAAGAAGGGGACACAGAGAAGGGTGTATGGCAAAGGCGTGGCCTGAAGGTCCACACAGAGCTGTGTCCTTGAAGGCCCCCAGGCATGGAGGTCCTGCCCAGACACACGACTTTCCTATAACTTAACTTTCAAATGGCATCAATGTAATACAGGTGCACCCTTCAGGTAGGGGTTACAGTTGGCTCCGACCCTGCCCTGCCCTGCCTCATTCACAGGCATCTCCTGATGTGACCCACAAGTCCCAGCTTAATATCATCTACTTCCTCCAGCAGGAGATTTACACTATTTATTGGCAGTGGGCTGAACGGCAGCCCTCCAAGAAGATATATCCACATCCTGACATGTGGAACCTCTGAACATGACCTTCCTTGAAAAGAGGGTCTTTATGGAGGTAATTAAGTGAAAGATCTTGAGATGAGATCATTCTGGATGATTCCAATGGGCCCTAAATCCAGTGACAAATGTCCTTATAAGAGACACAAGTGGAGACAGACACAAAGGAGAGGAGAAGGTCACGTGGACACAAACAAGAGTGGAGGGATGTGGCTACAAGCCAGGGGACACCTGGAGCCCCCAGGAGCTGAAGAGGCAGGAAGGAGCTTCCCCCAGAGGTCTTGAGGGAGGGTCCTCCGGAAGGCTTCCCCCTGCCAGATTTGGACTTCCAGCCTCCAGACTGTGATTGGCACCTCCTCCCAGAGCTAGAGGAAACTGACAACGACCCTTCCCATACATTCCCTTTTCCATCCTCTAGCAGCTGTGTCCTTGGTTTTTGTGAGACCCACTGTTCACAGATTACCCTATGACAGTCCAAATACTATTCACAGCTGAGCTACCCCAAGGTGTCTACTTGCCTAGCCCAGGCTGTGTGTCATTGGCCCTCCAGTTTTAAAATAATTTATCTCCTATCTTCTCTTTGTCTTTTTGTCCAACTTTCTGGGAAATTTCCTCAACTTCTTCCATCTGCTACTAGGTTCTTTAATGTCCTATTCTTATAGTTGTTTCATGGATGCAAAATCTTTTATCTATCTAGAAATATTCATTACAATTTTTTAAAAGTTGCCATTGGCAGCTTACCCTGTCTGCTTTCCTCCTGGGAGTAGCCAGGCTGGTGTGCTGCCCATGCTGGAGGCTTGTTTAAGAGGAGGGTGAGGGGAAATACAGGAGCATCTGCCTTGCTAGGGGAAGTGGAGATTGGTGCAACCACTTTGGAAACCTAATTTGAAGATATTTGTATCAGAATGTTTATTGCAGCTCAATTCATAATTGCCAGGTCATGGAAGAAGCCCACGTGCCCATCGAGCCACGAATGGATCAACAAACTGTAGTATATGTACACCATGGAATACTATGCAGCCATAAAGAAAGATGGAGACTTTACATCCTTCATGTTCACATGGATGGAGCTGGAAAATGTTCTTCTTGGCAAAGTATCACAAGAATGGAAGAAAAAGTATCCAATGTACACACCCCTATTATAAAATTAATTTATACCTTTTGGAAGCTATAACCTAATAACAGTCTAAGAATACGGGGAGGGGGGAGGGAGAGGGGAGGGTGGAATGGGTGGAGGGTGGGGGATTGGAGGGATCACTTCAGTGGTTTGTCATGCAAGGGTACAAGTGAATCTTTCTAAGAGTAGAATGTGAACGTTTTAACACAATAACTAAGAAAATGACATGAAGGCTATGTTAACCAGTTTGATAGAATGTTTCGGATTGTGTGTGAAAACACCACACTGTACCCCAGAAGTGCATTAATGCATAGTTACCATTCAATAAAAAAAAAAAATGCAATCAATGTAACCTGATTCTTTGTACCCTCAATAAATCCCCGACAATAAAAAAGTCTATATATAAAATAAATAAATAAATAATAAATTAAAAAAAAAGAAAGAAAAATAATTTGAGTGAAACTGAGCTGCTCACGCTTTGCAGCCAGTGCCTACCGCAGCATACACCCAAACTCTTTGTACACGGCAGACCGCAGAATAACCAAGGCAGTATGGTTGTCCCTGTGCACAACTGGAAAGGAGTCCCAGTCTGCGGTGATGGCCTGGAGAGCCAGCTGTGGCCCCTCACCGTTGTGGGTATAGCCTTGTCATGGAAGAGGGTTCAGAAGCACAGCGTCAGCTCCAGCAGACAGGGAGGAGGGCTGGAAGAGGCTGGAGCCTTGCAGGTCCCCTTCCTCCAGTGGTGTCGGTGCAGGAGGGGGACTTTGCTGTGCTGCTGGGGTTGCTGAGCTGTAGGACTAGACTTTCTGCTGAGCCCTGATGGTGGCCTGCAGCTCTGCCCTGCAGCCTGGGAACTGGTAAGGCAAGGCGGTGAGGCCATCACTATCCAGTATATCAGCTTCTGGATGTCCCCAGTCTCACTTGTAGCCTCACCACGTCATGGACACTTGCACACCCATGTTCCTCGCAACATGCCTCTCAACAGCCAGCGGGCGGGAGCAGCCAAGTGCACATGGGCGGAGCACAGACGAGGCAGCGTGTGCACAGTGGAACATACTCAGCCTTAGGAAGTTCCGACACACATAGCAGCAAACAAACCTAGTGTGTGCCACTATCAGTGAAATAAGCCAGCCATGAAAGGACGCATCCTGCGTGATCCCACTCACACAAAGGGCCTGGAGCCATCAGACTCACAGAGACAGAAAAAAATCTTGGGTGCTGGGGCTGGGGAGTGGGAGTTAGTGTTCAGTGGGGACAGAGCTTCGGTTTGGGAAGATGAGAAAGTTCTGGAGTGGATGGTGGGGAGGGCTACCCAACATCGCAGATGTGCTTAGTGCCCCAAATTGTGCTCTTAACAAGGGTTAAACAGCAAATTTAGTCACATGAATTTTACCAACATTTTTTTAAATGGGAAAAAAGATAATCGAGATAGGGAAAGAACAGAGGGAAAGGAACTGAGGTGGCAAATATGCAGCCACGAGGATGGCACTGGCACGGCATTAAGTTCAAAAGGTCCAGAGTGTCCATTCCTAAAAACCACTGACTGCACACTTCGAAAGGGTGAACTTTATGGTATGTATATCATAAACGATAGAGATTTATTTTAAAAATCACTTGTATTGAGATATGGTAGCAATAAAATAAAAATAAAACTGAGAAAACATTCACATTGACAATAGCAACAAAAAGATTAAAATACAAAAGAAGGCTAAGCACAGGGGCTCACACCTATAATCCTATCACTTTGAGAGACTAAAGGCAGGAGGATTGCTTAAGATCAGTTTAAGACCAATCTAAGCAGGAGTGAGATCCTGTCTCTGCATTTTTAGAAAAATCAGCCAGGTGTCATGGCAGGCACTTATAGTCCCAGCAACTTAGGAGGCTGAGGCAGGAGGATCACTTGGGTCCAATAATTTTTTTTTCTTAAGAGCCTCAAACTGTCACCCTGGGTAGAGTGCCATGGTGTCATAGCTCACAGCAACCTCCAATTCCTGGGCTTAAGCGATTCTCATTCTTCAGCCTCCCAAGTAGCTGGGACTACAGATGCCCACCACAACACCCGGCTATTTTTTGGTTGTAGTTGTCATTGTTATTTGGCAGGCTCAGGCTGGAT